TTTTTTCGCAAGCTCTCGGATAAGCACTGAGCATACAGTGCTTATGAATATACGTTGGGTAAGGGCAAAACCCGTTATATATAATTAACATCTCCCCAACGCAAAAAATACATCTTGCAAACTGGGCTTAACGCTTCGGTTATGAGCAAATTTACCGACATGGAATTTAGAAAAAGAGACATTCTCCAGCGCAAAGTGTGACGAAGGAAACGGTGATGAATGCCGGCGATGATTCATGCAGATTTTATACAGGTAATTTTCATGATAAATACATATCCTTACTATCATGATGTTTTAAATGTCTATTGAACTTTACCACAAATTGGATGCAATGCAAAGCTAATACGTTTTGTTTTTGACATGTAGGCCTAATAATACTGACCCTAGTAGTACTGCAAGTAGTTATTTTATGTAAGGTTGAACAGGGTTCCATCATTTAGTATTAGTTTTGCTGCAATAGTACAAGTGTAAATGGGCCTACATTGTACCAACACGTGACATTTCGACTCCTTATTTAGGGCCTATGTCACGTGTTTTAATTCTGTGTGAGTGTTATTTGTTTTTATCTGATATTTCTTTACAGGTTTCTCAGTGGAATGCTGCTATTCATTTTTGACTGGGTCTCTGCTAAAGCTGGACGAATGACCTACTGGAAAGGAACACGAACTGCAAATAAATGGGTAAATGATAAGACAAATCAGTTCAAAGGAAAATTATTCAAACTATTTAAATAATCAGATTTTTAATGGTAAACGTAACGGGACAACTTGTACCCAGAACAACCCGTACCTGGAAAACCTTGCAGCTACAATTTGAGACATGAGGCAGTTCGTACCCAGGACAACTCATACCTGGGACAACTCAAGTCTTACACTGGTCAACTCATACCTGAGACAACTCGTACCTACATGTACTTGCGCATAGAGTTTGATTTGCTCCAAGCACAAGTTGTCCTGTATATGAGAACTTTGTCCTGTATTCTTGTACATCTGATTCATGTACCAATCCTGAGAAATATTCCAGTCTTGATTACTTTCATCTAAGTTTTTCTTTATCTGTAGAATTTTCATCATGTTGGGGACTAGTTAAATTTGCAAG